GTTTATTTGTTGTTTTGTTGCTGGCAATGTTTAAATGCTGTTTTTCACAAGGTCTGGAAAGTTCTGGAATGTTAAATGCTGTTTTCCAAGGTCTGGAAAGTTCTGGAATGTTTAAATGCTGTTTTCCAAGGTCTGGAAAGTTCTGGAATGTTTAAATGCTGTTTTCCAAGGTCTGGAAAGTTCCAGTAAAGCAGATGTTGAGATGCTGTTTTTCCCTGTTTGGAAAGTTCTGGAATTTTTAAATGCTGTTTTCCTACAGGGTCTCTAGCAAAGTCTCTGGATGTTTAAATGCGTTTTTCGGCAAGGTCTGGAAAGTTTCTGGAATGTGTAAATGCTGTTTTCAAGGTCTGGAAAGTTTGGAATTTTTAAAATGTTGTTTATTGCCAAGGTCTGGAAAGTTCGCAGTAAAGAGGGGCAACCAGCCGCCTGGAAAATTGACTTAAAGACCTGGACATAATTAAATAATTAAGCTTATTATTTATTTAAGTTAAGCTTATGAGGCTTTTTAAAAAAAGTCCTTAAGCGATGAGCCGCATCGTCCATAGCTTGTCTACAGAATAAAATGCTAGCTTCATAGCAAAAGCTTCTGAACTAAGTGCGGCGTGAGATTTGGCGGGCGAAGAGATGCTCAGGTCCGCCGGCATCCCGTACACCGCTGACCGGCTGAGCAGGTCGCTTAAAATCAAAAGTGGTCACGAAAATCAGACGTGTGTAAGGTCCCTCCCGCGGAAAAGTCGTTGGGAATAAGTTTTTGCTGTGGGTTAGGCCAAACGCCTAGTGGTGTAGCGTCTTTTGGTCGCGATCATCCAGTAGTGCTGCGATCTCGATCATTTACGACGTGGAGGAGCTCCTATCGGCGTGAGCTTGGCCGGCGTCCGTGGCCGGACCGCCAGCGCCGCGCGTCGCACGCCCGGCATGGCTGCGAGAAGAGTTATATAATCTATAGCAATATATTTGTTTCCTGAACGGTCACACAGCGTGCTAGCGCGTCGCTGTGGCATCGGCACCATGGATTGTTTACCCGTTCTCGTCGCGCTGGAATTGAGGCTTTAATGTTTACCCCTAACAAAAAAGAGGATTGGGAACCGGGCCAAGTAAGAGAGGAGCCTGGCACGCAGCGGCGCACCCTGCCAGGAATACCTGTGAGTCGATCTCTTTCTCCTAGTCCCTAGGGAGCCGTAGCCCGAGTGTCACATGGAAAATTTTATTATTATTACTGTGGCTTTTTCATCAGCGCCATTGGTTGTTTCTGGCAGCGAGATAGCTACTGGGCCGACACCGCGTCCTACAGTGATCGATGCACAACCTTATCCTCAGCATACTGAAACGAAGAAGGATGTTCGCAAAGAAGACGGTAAGGACACATCTTACGAGTTGCGAACGCATAGATTTAGAGGAAACTGAGGGTGGTTACACTTGCTGGTATACGCGCATATTTTTCGCATTAAGCAGATATTTTCACTAATTTTGAGCTTGGCGGCCCCAATTGCGGTGGTCTTAATTTTGGCGGTCAGGTGATTCCGCGGAATCGGTGCAAGAACAGCGTGTTGTTATTCTTCGGGACGGTCCAGCACGACGCTGTTTTGCGAAATTCACGAAAATTAAAAGCGCACCAGGCTAAAATATAAATACAGCGTATACCGTATAGTATGCCAGTGCATTGTTTTTATGTTAATGTGCATGGGGGTAATGAATCTTACGCATCTTTGACAGAGGGGGAGAACGTAGTAACAGTTCTGAAACGATAAAATGGGCAAAAAGAAAATGAATTTGGGCGGTGGGGGGGGGGGCGAGGAAAGTGGCAAAGAACTCCTGAAGTATACCATATTTTAAAATAGCAATTAATATGAAAATTTATTTTGCTTGGCTTTCTCCTCGACAGTTGCTTCCCTGCTGTCTAAAAAAGAAAGTGCTAATAATAATTTAAAAAAGTCGAATTCCATATGCGTGGCGGTCAAGTGTTTCCCAACGAGTTTCCTGTCGCGCTCGATCACATTACGTCAAGAAATTCGGACTTACCTTTCGCTTCGCTGCTCTCCCGGCGCGCAATCGGAGGTGGAAGAGAGAGAGAAGCATCCCCAACTCCTAAAAAAAAAAAAAAACTGGTCAAAATAACCCGCAAAGAACTTGGCCGTTTCTCGCGAAAAACTGGCTAGGCGCTGCTATACCGCGTGTTTCCCGTCAGGCAGGGGGCAGCTGGTGGCGGCGGCGCGTACCGTCAAGTACGTGACGCTCGCGAGGAGCTGAGCTGTCGCATCACGAGGCGGCGAGATAGAGTGGCATGCTGTCGGAGGAAGGGAGCGTTGCGACGGCGACGGTCGGCCCAGCGAGGTCGTTTGGACGAAGCGTGCGCGAGGCTGGGCGGCGGGCTGGCGGCCGGCGAGGAGCTGGTGCTGGCCGTCGAGCGTAGAACGTGAGGGCGCCACGCTCAGCGCGGCGTAAGGTAAGGCGATTATTCACTTATTAATTATTATTATTATTTATTATCATCATAACAGTATTATCATCATCATCCATACATGCATCCATCATCATACAATCGATCATCAAATCATCCATCATTATTAATATTATTTTATTATTATTCCTTTTTTGTTATTTTTATTGGTATTATTTTCATGTTTACGAAGTATTTTTCCCGCTCAAGTTGTTTGTTTCACAGTTTGAAGGGACCAATAGCAGAAGTGTTTTAAAGGAAGTCGAGCCGGGGTGACGATTGAGAACGGGACACCCTAAACAGCGTGCGTGCGAGGAGCAGCCGGACACAGGAGCGAGAGCGCAGTCAGAAACGCCTCAAACGAACATCTCAACACAGGTAAACAACAAGCAACAAACAGCATAACAACAGAACCTAAACCTACGTAAACAATTTAACAATGATCACAACAACGAGCAAAAAGCAACAACAATGGCAGGAAACAATCTACAGCAACAATGAACAAACAGTACAACAATGGACACAACCTACAGCAACAATAACAACAGTTTACACAATGGAAACAAAATACTTACAGCAATAATAACAACAGTTACAACAGCAACAGCAATAGCAGAAACAAAAGCACTTCTAAGCAACAACCTAACAACCACAATGACAAAACAAAAAACAGCAAAACAACAACAACAACAGCAACCCAATCAACAACACGCATACACTAAACACATAAACACATAACAAAGAAAGTGAGATCCTAAAGCAGCGTGCGTGTCGAGAAAGCGGCCTTCACAAACATGCTTCAGCACAGGTAAACAACGAACAACAACAACAACCTAGCTATCAACATAAAGCAATAACGAAGAAGGTAGACAACTACTACTGCCAACTGCAACAGTGAAAAAAACGACAATTTAGGCACAATAACAACTAACAAAAGGACTACAAAACAACAAAATGGACAGGCAGCAGCAGCAACAAGCGCTACACGCATACATAAACAATAAACAAGAAGTGTGACAATTACTGCAACAACAGTGACAAAAACGATCGATAAACACGAACAACAACAAACCAACAACAAGCAACAACAAACGAACAACAACAAGCAGTAGACTGGGTTTGCCTATCACACAGCCCACATTTTTGCTGACCAAGCACTTAACTCCGCAGCACATGTTGAACACGTCGGTTGAACCGAACCGATTTCACCATGGCAGTGGCGCCAACTCTGACGAGGCGGTCCGCGGCGTCGTGAAGCGAGCGGCGACTCGCGCCGAAGTTGAACGTGAAGTCGAAAGGAGTTTACAGCAATGGCTGAACAGAAGTCGCCGCACCAGGATACTGTATGACAGGTGACAATGTCCATTCATGTTTTATGTGGCAAGTCAGGCAATGTAGCAGAGCCACGCATCCTAAATCATATATCATATATTATTATATATTACTACAGAGCATATTAAGAAGGCTTGCATTGATATAATTATATATATATCTATATATATATATATATATATAGAACATGTATATATATCGGGTTGAATAACAGCAGACATGAATTTACTATGTCATATATTTACGGCGCCTGATATACGCACGCACGCGCACAGGCACGCACGCGACGCACGCAACGCACATATATATATCACGTGTAATTGTTCCAATCCACCTGAAGACGAGATGCGAGGTGCTGAAGATGAAGACGTAGAGGCACTGGATGAGGTGCGAGGCTGGGGATGAGGTGCGAGGCCAGCCTGGGGATGAGAGGCGGGCGAGCGCTGGATGAGACGGCGAGGCGCTGGGATGAAGACGCGAGGCCTGGGTGAGACGCGAGGCGGCTGGGATGAGACGGCGAGGCGCGCTGGGGAATGAGACGCGAGGCGCTGGGATGAAGTACAGGGCGAGGCGCTGGGATGAGACGCGAGCGCCCTGGGGATGAGAGCGCGAGCGCGGGGATTGAGATCGGGAGGCGCTGGGGGATGAGACGCGAGCGCTGGGGGAGCGAGACGCTGAGGCGCGCTGGGGACGAGAGGGAGGAGCTGGGTGATGAGACTGAGGCGGGCTGGGATGAAGAACGGGAGGCGGTCTGAGGATTGAGACGGGAGGCGCTGGGATGAGACGGGTGGCGTCTAGACAATCATTAGTCGTGAACGTGCGACATAAACACGATGCTTGCAGCGGAGGTTGGAGCAACGAGACAAGTACTTTGACCTTCTCGAGAAGAAGGAGACGCATCGAAGAAAAGAATGGCCAAGCCACGATGAGCAGCCGGAAGTGTGTGGCGTACACCGCTGCAAGAAGGAGAGAGGAAAGAGAGGGAGGGAGAGAGAGAGAGAGAGAGAGTTTTAAGGTTTTACAATGTATATTTTTTATAGTTATTTAAAATGACGTTAAAGCAGGGCGATATAGTGTGTTATTTGTTAATGAACTGTCACAATTTTTGAAGCATTTCAATGTGAATAAATTATATTTATCAACAATCATGAAGCATATGCAGTTCCGCGTTTGCAGCAAAAAAAGTAATTTCGGAGTATAATTACAGCATGAGCAGAAGTAGCAATTAGCAATCATAATTACAGTAATTGAACAGCATTTGAGAAACTCATCAGCTAAGTTTTTAGCATCAATCGACGTAGTCAGATGCAGCTTGTAGAATCGGCATGATCGTCGGCCGTCCGTCCCGTCCGTCCGTATCGTCAAAGCGAGTTTGGGCCACAAATCTTAACCCGCTCGACGTACGGTCCACGATATTCGGAGCGTTGGGGGGGATCTCTAAAACGAGTTGGGATGTCAGAAAGCTGGGGGGTCAAAGGTCAAAGGTCAAGAGGTGTCAAAAGAAGGGAGGGAACAATTCAAGCTGGCCTTAACTTAAGGTTTAGGGAGGAAATTGCAGAATTGGCGGCACAAATCTAAACGCTCGACCTAAGGCTCGTGAATAGTCGGTGTAAGGCATCAATGGTAGAGAAAAGCCATCATCTGTGCCGAATTGGAGTCACCAGGTCAAAGGTCAAGGGCACAGGCAGATTTTAGACATTTTCCGTGAAGGACATGGTCTGACAGGACCCCCGGCCGATTGAAAAACTTTTTTGTTTGCAGCGGTGAGCTAGCATTTTTTATGGCTATTATTGAAAGGTACCATGAAATGTACATTCTGCGTGAACATGCGAAGATAAAGTGTTGGAATACCCTTTTGAACGCCTCAAGAGGAGGGTTAAACATGGACTTTTTTGCATAGTAGAATTATACATGCGCTGGATGTATGAGGCTAACATGTCACGAGTGAAATTTCAAAAGATAAATTTGGTTGAAGAGAGGTTTATGGCTCGCTTAAATCGTATATTTGCTAGTGGTCAATTCTGTACTGGTCAGTATGTTACATGTAACAGTTATGCCACTGGCAGTGCATGTGGCTGGTGGTAGCCTATGTATGTTTTTTGCGTGCGTTAATTGGTTACAGGTGGCAGCACTCTATTTGGCAGGCCTGTAGGCTGCGTAGGTAAATGGATGAGTGCTTACGCTATAGAGTACCGAAGTGTGACGTCACGTATGCAAGACAACGTACGGGCTGGTTCTACACAAGCCACATGCTCCATAAACATTAACTGGGCGTGAAAATGTTCGTGCGTACGTAAAACACGAAGTGTTGTGCGCTGGGGGGCAGACAGGCGTAAAGCATCGTAAGCAAGTCGATCTTACAATATTTAATGAATTAAAAAAAAAATTACATTTTTTTTTTGCAAATTTTTTTGTATATATTTTTTTCTGCTTTTTTTGTTGCTTTTTCACTTCCATCCTTCGGAAAATGCTTATAAAAACTGGCAAAATGACTCTCCAGAAGTGATGGTTACAAAATCGGTAGCAAAAGCACGAACACGCAGTAAATGTTACCAGAGCATATGATTGAATTTGGTGTAGAAGCCAGTAGGTTCGGTTGTCATGCACCGGTGACGTCTCACTTCGGTACTGCTATTCTGTCTTGCAAATAAGTTGTTGCTAGCTACGTATCGATGGGAGCTTCCATCTTTAATCTGGAAGACACTTAAAAACGTACGCGCCATCTCGTGGCTAACAATTTCATAACGATCCCCAACGAACATTCCTTTGAGAAAGGTTCCTGATACCATCCTTGTCATTCCACAATGTTTGCGGCATGTCATCGTGACACATTTGGGACTAACAGGGTTTACTAGAATTCCCACCGCAACTTCCACCACAGAGTTCACCGCCCAGTAGACGTTAGATTCAAAGCGCTGTGCGCTGCCCGCGGCAACTTGTTACAAGCGTTAGCGCATGCGAATGTTTCACTGAGGGCCAAATTAAAAAAAAATAGTTTGTTTGCCGTCACCCGACCAGGCGTGAAAGTTTGGGTAAGGTAGGTCGGCTTTTCCTTTTGAGGGCGGTGGGTCCTATTGACAAATTCAGTCAGTGGTTGTCTACGATAGCTCGGGTGGTGTCTCTTGTGTGGAGGATACCTTGCTTTACTTGTTGAATGTTTGTTTTGCTTGGTAACATATAAGTATATGGGCCTAAATAGATTAATAATGTACAGTGATTACAATTTGTTAAAAAAAAAAAGATGAATATAAGCGAAATTTTGAGTCGGCCGCCCTTTTTGCGGGTCGGGTGAGGGCAAACAAACAATATTTTTATTATGGCTCACTGACTTTGCGCCTCGCTTCGTTTTCACCAGTGCAAGAAGACGACCATGTACAAGCCGTCGGGCATCTGCAAGGACGAGCGCCATCCAATCACGCGCCACGACGCCGTGCAGAAGTTCTTCCAGTGCAAGGCCTGCTCTAGACGGATGACGACCATCGACAAGTACCCGCAGGCCTCCTGCAAGTGAGTGTCCGACCAGTCGCGGCGGCAGTCTAGGTTCGCTCAGCCGTCTGTGGGCGCGTGCGCGGTTTTTATAGGGAAGGAGATCCTGCGGGAGTTTTCCTCCGCGCCACGCTGAGGATTTTCTTCCGCGTTATATCGCGCGCACACGCGCGATTTCTGTGTAGGTGGCGTGACGGTAGTCTCGCGGGAATTTTTCTTGTTTGTTGTCACGTGAGTTGTTTACGTCGGAGAAAGTTGTTGTTTGTTGTTTGTTGTTGTTTGTTGTTGTCTGCGTTACGAGTAGTTTATACGTTGTAGAAGGTCGTCGTGCGTTCTCTGTTTTTGTTTGTTGTTGTCTGTTGTTTGTTGTTGTTTGTTGTTGTCTGTTGTTTGATGTTTGTTGTTTGTTGTTGTTTGTTGTTGTCTGCGTTACGAGAAGTTTATACGTTGTAGAAGGTCGTCGTGCGTTCGCTATTGTTGTTTATTGTTGTTTATTGTTGTTTGTTGTTTGTTGTTGTTTGTTGTTGTCTGCATTACGAGAAGTTTATACGTTGTAGAAGGTCGTCGTGCGTTCTCTGTTGTTGTTTGTTGTTGTTTGTTGTTGTTTGTGTTGTCGCGAGTTGTTTACGTCAGAGAAAGTTGTCATGCGTTCTCTGTTTTTACCTCTTGCAGGAGTTGCGGCGGGTCCAGCTATGAAAGGGTGGGAATGTGGAAGGTGAGTAATTATCCGATATGTCGCATAGATTTCTACCGTCTTTATTTACTATTTTTTCATATATTTATTTTTCCTACTTATTCCTCATGCGTGAGAAATATATATATGTGTGTATATTTTCATACGTTCTTTCCCTTGAATTTATATCACTATGAATATGTATATATATATATATATATATATATATATATATATATATATATATATATATATATATATTATGTTGGCAATTTGTGACAACGTGGATGTAGGGTCAGTTGAACACATAGGATATTGGTTTTCAGCATATGTAGTATACCATGCAGGGTGGCGATAGGCAGTTGTCGAGCGGTGATCGTCGACAACTCGAGGACATTACGACCACGGTTTAATATCCGACGCGTTTTCCGTTGTAATTAATCAATGTAATAAATTATTTAATTATTATTTAATTAACTGTTTTTATAATTAATTGTTTAATTAACGTCCGACGCGTGTGCTTGCAGGAGAAGACGGTGCAGCTGGAGGCTGAGAAGCTGTGTCTGCGCGGAGCCGAGAGCAAGTTCCTCGACAGTCAGCTGAAGTCCTGATGGCTTCCCGCTTCGTCTCACGACGCTCCTCTTCATCTCGCGTCGACCCATCACGACCCGTCACATCACCGATCCACGAACGTTCGTCGCATTTTCGACGTGATTTCTGATGGATTTCCCCGATTTCGCGAATCGATTCGATTTTCCGAATCGATTCGATTTGCCGAGTCGTGATGGCTTCGCGAGCGCGCATGCTGCTTCGTCTCGCTTCAACCCATCACGTCGATCCACAAACGTATTGTCGCGCATCTCTCGCCAAACCTGCGAGCGCGCACCACAGACGCTTGGAACGTCTAAAAAAAAAAAGTAAATAAACACGAAATGTATTTACTATCAAAGTCTTGATGTTTCTCTACTCTCTTTCGCCTATTATTGCCGCTAACTTCCTGTAAATGCCTTTCAAATGCACCTCTGCAACACATGACTACACCACACGCACGCCGCTGTGCACAAACAACACGTATAATATAGTGTTGCTATATGTGTTATTGTTCGTCGCCGGGGATACTATGGTTTCATGTCTGTACAGCCGCCGCCGCCGCTCGGTCGGCCGCAGAGATTTTCCCTTCTGCTCTATAACTCGACCCCTAATTGACCTAGCGTGACCAAACTTGGTATATTTACACATCTTGCGGAGAAGGTTGGCAGCATACCAAAACCAGGTCACTGCGACCTTTATTTGACATTTACCTTGACCTTGATCATATTTCCCTTCCGCTCTATGACTCGGCCCCTAATTGACCTAGCGCTACCAAAACAAGGTCACTACATAAATGCTGTTTTCCAAGGTCTGGAAAGTTCTGGAATTTTTAAATGCTGTTTTCCAAGGTCTGGAAAGTTCCAGTAAAAGGTTGACAGCCCTGGAAATACCTAAAGACCTTGAATAATTAAATAATTAAGTTATTTATTTATTTAGTTATCTTTGCTTTTAAAAAAGTCCTTAACGATGAGCCCATCGTCCATCTTGTCTAAGAATAAAATCTACTTCATGCAAAAGCTTCTGAACTAATCGGTGATTTGGCGCGAAGAGATGCTAGGATCGTACGTGGCTAAAATAAAGTGGTCACGAAAATAGACTCGTTAAGTCCTGGAAAAAGTCTTGGGAAAAGTTTTTGCTTGGGTTAGCAAACCCTGTGGTAGCTCTTCTGCGATCATTCGTAGTGCTGTTCATCATTGTAGATAATCTATCGCTAGAGCTGTAGAATTTATAATATATATTTTTTCTCTCAAGCGTGCTGCGCGTGCGTGCATGCACATGTTTTTCCTTCTACTTGCTTTAATGTTTACTAACAAAAAGAGATGTGGAAACGGTGCCAAGAAGAGAGCCTTGCACGCAGCGGCACCTGCCAGTGAAAACTGTGAGTCGATCTCTTCTCTAGTCCACTAGGCCAGTAGCCCAGTGGGCACACGAAAATTATTATTATTACTTGCTTTTTCACGGCATTGTTGTTTTTGCAGCGAGAAGCTACTGGCGACACCTACCAGTGGATCGATGAACCTTATTCAGCATATGACGAAGAAGGATGTCTCCAAAGAAGACGGTAGGACACACGAGTGCGAACGCATAGATTTAGAGGAAACTGAAGGGTGGTTACACTTGCTGTATACGCCATATTTTTCGCTTACAGATATTTTCACTAATTTTGACTTGGCGGACAATTTTGCGAGTGGTTAATTTTGCGGTCGGTGAATTCCCGAATCGGTCAAGAACAGCGTGTTGTTATTTTCGCGGTCGGCGACGCGTTTGCGAAATTCACGAAAATTAAACCACCGCAAAATATACAGCGTATACCGTAGTATGCCAGTGCTTGGTATGTTAAGTGCAGGGGTATGAATCTTACCATCTTTGACGAGGGGAGAACGTAGTACAGTTTCTGAAACGATAAATGGCAAAAGAAAATGATTTGGTGGGGGGGGGCGAGGAAATGGCAAAGAACTCCTGAAGTATACCATATTTTAAATAGCAATTAATATGAAAATTAATTTGCTGCTTTTCTCTCGACAGTTGCTCCCTCTGTCTAAAAAAGAAAGTCTAATAATAATTTAAAAAGTCGAATTTCAATCGTGCGGTCCGTGTTTCCCACGAGTTTCCTGTCCGTCTCGATTCACATTCGTAAGAAATTCGGACTTCCTTTCCTTCCTCTCCGGCCGCAATCGCATCCCCGACTCCTAGAAAAAAAAGAAACTTTGGTCAAAAAAAACCAAAGAACTTTGCGTTTCTCCGAAAAATGCTGCGCCTAACCCGCGTGTTTCCCGCCAGCAGGGGGCGCTGGTGGCGGCGGCGCGTCCGTCAAGTACGTGACGCCGCGAGAGCTGCTGTCGCATCACGAGCGCGAGATGAGTCATCGTCGGAGGAAGGGGAGCGTTGCCACGGCGACGTCGCCGCGAGGTCGTTTGGCGAGCGTGCCGAGGCTGGGCGCGGGGCTGCGGCCGGGCGAGGAGCTGGTGCTGGCGTCGAGCGTGAACGTGAGGGCGCCACCGCTCAGCGCGGCGAAGGTAAGGGGCCGATTATTATTATTATTATTATTATTATTATTATCATCATAATCATTATTATCATCATCATCATCATCATCATCATCATCATCATCATCATCATCATC